GGCCGACACGGCGGTAAGAAGGAACTGAGGTGGAGCAGCGCCGGCAGGGGTACTTATGCCCCGCCATGGCGGCGCCACTCCAGAGGGCGCCCTGCCGGCGCTACGGGTACCGCTAGGGAAAACGCTCCGGAAGACGCGGTGCACGCGGTGCGCACACCTACTTCGAATGGACATGAGCAACACATCTCGAAGAACAACAGTTACAGGTAAGTAACCGTTCTTATCCCTTAAAATCTAAGGTGCTATAAAAACCAAGCAGCCCTTTGTAGATCATACAGTGCAATCTTCTTGTGCCCGGTAGTCTTGTTTTGACTTCACGTTGGGTAAAGTGTTCTCATATGTGTCAGGGAGGGAACCCTGTGGACAAGTCTTATCTGGCTAGGAACTCTTAGGGGAACGCATGTCATGAGCAAACCAATTTCTGTTTCTGTTGCAGGAGGAGCAATGAAAGCCCTGTACTCGTACAGCCCCCTACAAGACACATGGTGCCTCGTGACTCAGTTCACTCATGAGAGAGCAAGTTGCGGGATTTCCCCTTGCAACAACAAATTGTTCATCACAGGGGGCCGGGATGAAAAGAATGAAGTCATTGCCACGGTGCTGTGCTGGGACCCTGCAATCCAGAAGTTAACAGAGGAGTGTGTTTTACCGCGTGGGGTGTCCCATCATGGCAGCGTCACCCTCCGGAAATCCTATACACACATCCGCAGGATAGTGCCTGGAGCGGTTTCTGTCTGACTTAGGGAGAGACGAGAGTGCCACAGGTGACATCCAAATACCTCAGTCCCCTACGGGGACGCTAGCCAAGTAGACTGCATTGAAAGGATAATTTGTTGGAACCACTGCTACTTTTACAAATATGTGCTTGGCCTCTTTGAAAACAGGAAATCTCATTCCTCTGTACAGAACATACTTTAAATTATCTTCCCCACCTCAAATATGATGGGCCCATCTCGAATTTACTCCTGATGCACAGAAATTCCAGTCATACAAGGAAACGTGATGAACTGGGGTCGATCTGCCTCTAATCCTACCGCAGATAGGATAGTCATGCCAAACGTCAGCCCACCCCTGCCAGATGTTGCGATATTATTTATTACTATTCACCTCAGACTACTGGCCTTGCAGCATCACCCAGAGAAAAGGAGAAGTGGCATATGGAATGGCAGGCTTGCATCACTAGCAAAACTCACGTGACACCCTCAAAAGTCACACTTCTTTTCGACAATGGCATGTTACATGCAGCCAAAGGATGACATTTTAAAAAAAGGAAATCCTCCTTGCATTTCCCATCACCAAAAAAGTCCACCCCAGCTAATGTCCCTGGCTGACAGTCCCTGCAGAGATACCAAAGAGAGAATAAACAGAGCCTAAATCTCTCACCCCTACATACGGACAAACCCTAATTTATCCCATTGTAAGTTTAGCATAATTATTTTCCAATAAACCCCACCACAATGTTTGGGCTCTGGATTTGTTTTCTCTTTTAGCTAAAAAAAATCCTAACAAAGTTAGAAAGTACCAAAAAACCCCAAAACACCTTGGAATGACAATTAACAACCAAACCTAGCAAGGGTAACGGTAACAACAATGATCCTGTTAGACAGAAGGGCACAGGCCGGGGACGGGACAGGTGTTCCTACCTGGAGGAATGGACTGGGTTTAAAGAGCGCTAGATACCATTTCACCCTCCCCTCTGCCAGTATTTAGAGACAGAGTTGATCAGATTCAATCTAAAGTCCTTGCTTCCACTCAGTGACTGCTAGAGCTGACATCACTAAATAAGCTGGTCTAGGAAGTTGAACCTTAGACCTAGGACAAGTAAAGTGGTAGTGAAGGACAGGGCAGAGGATGAAGCAGGAGGCGGTTCTCCGCTCTTCACTAGGCTGAAATGGTTAAGAAGAGGGCTCAGCAACAGAGGGCAGCATTGCCACTAGAGGCAGTAGCAGAAGATACAACATTGGGCAGGGGTAGAGGCATTGCTTTCCTCCTGCATTCAGGGGTGGGAGATGAACACCTGTGGCTGCACCTCTGAACTCTGGGACTTTGCAGGGAGTGGGCTGTTGTCAAGGGAAAGGGAGTGACATGTTAAGGGGACCTTTGTCCATCAGACTTTCACATGACGAAGTGGGAAACTGAGGCACTGCCCAATCTACTGTGGGGCATATGTTATGGATTGCTTGCATACTTCTGAATCACAGTGTTTTCCCAGATTGATGCTGTTTTCCCTCTCCTTTTGATAAAAGTTTTCTTTTGTTATACACAGACTCACTGCTTGCAAGTAACAAACGACAGGACTATGCAGCACTAACAAGATGGTTTATTAAGGGGGTTGAGCTTTCGTGAGCCAGACCCACTTCCTCAGATCACATTGTGGAATTTGATCAAATTCCTCAGATCTGAGGAAGTGGGTCTGGCCCACGAAAGCTCATCACCTAATAAACCATCTTGTTAGTCTTTAAAGTGCTGCATAGTCCTGTCTTTTGTTTCAGCAAGACCAGACTAACACGGCTGCATCTCTATATTATTATTCTGCTTGCAAGTAAGGAAATATTGCCTCTTAGAGGTTGCCAGGGGTGGTGCTTCATTCTGTGGAGTATTGTTAAGAGGGACCTTTTGATATTGAAGCAGGCCCTAGCTGCCCCCGGCACCACCTGGCAGAAGGATTATAATTGCAATTCATCCCCATGCCTCTCCTCATCAGAGTCCAGATTTGTTAAGCTTCTAGGCATTCAGTGTGAGCTTGGTTGTTTTTCATGAGCTATTGGTTTTGCTCTAGAGGTTACTGGCCAGGCAGACTGGCTGCATTTAATTCCTTGGGGGGCATTATCCCTGTTTTTCTATTTAAATTCACTGCACAACTTCTAGAGTTGCAGGCCCCAAAGGACAATATGTTTTAGGGTCAGAGCCCTGCACGGGGAGGAAGCAAGATTATACACCCTGATAAATAGCTATGGTAATATCTTTGAATGCAAAACGATTCCCCTTTGTCTTTGTCTATTTGCTGCTTGTTTTTCCTCTATTGCAAAAACTCCCCCATCTTTCTCTTGAGTGCTCTGCTTCCTCTGCTCACCTGAAAGTCCTTGTCGTCCCCCACCTTGCCTCCCAGATGCCCCAGTAGTGTTCTCTGTGAGCTGTGTGCACATGCAGGAGAGATCCCAGTGCTGCCCAGCTGATTCGCAGAGCGCCCACTGCTAGGCTTGTGTTTCTGCTGGTGGTGCACATGCCTCGGTGCACATGCCAAAAAATCTGCACATGGATGGTAAAGAGTAGCGGGAACATTGTCCCCTAGTGCTGTTTGCTCACAGCATCTCCTCAGCAGAAAGAGAAAGCAACAGACAAGGGCAGGGTGAGTAGAAGGGGCAGGTGCCAGGACTTAGCTGGAGAGACATGCAGAGGGTGCTGTACCTTGCTGGCAGGGACAGAGAAATTGTTCCCTTTGCTGGGTGGATGTTAGGGGGCAGGAACCATCTCAATTCCTGCTTTCCCCTAGGGTGGCACTATAGGTCAGCCAACACAGGATAAGGGAGCCTCTGAAGGTAGGCAGGTGGGGTAGGTTCTGGAGTAGCTTAGGGGATACAGCATCAGGGCCTGGAGCACAGGGTGGTGAACTTGATTTCCCCCCTTGCTCCAAATGAACTGGCAAATATTTGCAAGGCCAACAGTAGGATCCTGGGTTGCTCTCTCCGCACCATGAGGAAGAGGAGTCTCTGAGCTGCTTCCATTGCCACATTTCCTTCGGTAGGTGGCAGCATGACCCTGGGTTGGTTGCCTTGGAGGTTTATTTGTATCACGAGGATTATTTCCTGGAATACAAAGGCACAGAACAAGCTGGCGAGAAGGAAAACAATTCTTGGGATCTGCAGGCGATTTCCGGGAGATGCGCAGAGTGTGGGCACCGGGCAGCACGGGCAGGTGGGCGAGAGTCCCTCAGTCTGGCCAGTTCTTCCGCAACAAAAATAACTACAGGAGGGCCAGTGCTGGGAGGGCGCCTGGCCAAGGCTGGGAACAGTTTTAGATGATTTCCCCCCGGCTGGAAAATCACAATTAAATCACAAGATACAAACCACAGAACAAAGCTAACGGTCTATGAAACATGGTAACAACCCTGTCCCTGGCAGCCACCCTCCTCCCGATTGAACTCTCTCTCTTCTCGCCTTTTTCTACCCCTCCTTCCCCCCAAGCACTTTCTTCTCATTTACTTCGCCCCTCTTTCTGGGGTAACCCCTCCAGCTGCCTAGGATGTAGCGATGTCATTGTACGGACCATTCGGGCTCACCTGGAACATCTCAGCCCAGCCGGGAAATCCGCTTACTCCACAGACACAGGCCTCACCCCTGGAGCTAAAGGCAACACAGCCTCTGTCCCGGTGACCAACACAGCCTGGGCCCAGCTGGGCTGTTAGCGCTGCCTTGGGAAGGCTGCAGCGCACATGCATGCACACACGAGCCAGAAAGTCTGTTAGAAACGTTTGTTTTCTTCCTAAAATCCCCCTCCTCCCCTGCCCACTCTGGTTCTCCAGGCCCAAAGCTCCCCCAGTACTTTCACCTTTGTCCTCTCTCCCTCCTTTTCTATTCCAATCTCTCCTCCTTCAGCCTCCCTTCTTCTGGTCCCCTTCTTTCTCCAGTATCTGCTGGAGCTCTCTCTCCTCCCCATGCTGCCTCCCACAACGCTGCTGTCTCTGCCAGGCACTGTGCTCTCCGCAGTGAAGAGGCAGCAGCACCACACTGCCCATGGTAAATCCTCTGAGCCCCCTCACCCATATGGTGCAGGATCCAGTCAGGGGGCTGACTGTCCTTCAGCCAGCTTGGAGACACTGTAGCTAAGGCTGCAATTCCTCCACGGAGGCCACAGATTCCATGGTTTTCTGCAACTTCTGTGACTTTTGCAGCTGCAAAAGGGACCTCAGCTGTGTGGGTGCCCTGCATCCAGCTGCACCCAAGGGAGCACCCGAGCACAGGTCACAGGGTGACTGGCCCCAGGAAGCACCCAAACAGTGGTCCCCAGGGCCTTGGAGTAGCAGGTGGCTGGAGTAAGGGCTACCGTGGGGCCCCAGGAGCTCCTACGTTTTAGCCAGGGGTATCTAGATAGTAAAAGTCATGGAGAGGTGATGGCCGTGAATTTGTTTCTTGCCTGTGATCTGACCATGGCTTTCACCGAAAATACCTGTGACAATCTTAGCCTTAGCCATAGCCAAGCGCATGGACTTGGCCTTCCCTTAAGCCTGGCCATGTGGCTAAGACATGGGCTCCCCTCTGAGAGCTGGGATCCAGTCGTAACTACACAAGAAGTGAGCATGCAGGGCTGCCGCAGGAGGCTGTGAATGATGCTGGCCTCCCTCTGCGAAGGCCTTGCTTGGTGACCCAGGCTGTGAAGTGTAACCCAGGGTTATTCATGCTGCTTGTTGAATAAGGCGCACCCAGGACCCCTGGCTCCCAGCCTCTGGCTCCTCCCCCTAAGCAAAGGGTATTGGTCTAGGAGTAAGTGGGGTGTGAAGTCCCCCTGTGGTGGGGTGTTTCCATTACTGCTCCCAGTCCACTGGGAAGTGCCAAGAGCTGCCCCCAAACCCTGCCTGGCCGTGGGGTAGCTCAGCTCCTTCAATGTGCTTAGCTGGCGAAGGGAAGACTCCCTTGGCCAGGGGTGCTGAAGAGGGGAGAGGCAGGATGAGCCGGAGGCTGCCTGTGGGTAGAGCAGCAGCCGCATCTGGCACGTGACAAACTGAGGACTCCCCAGCTGCCCTGAGGCTCCCTCTTCCCTCCAGGCAGAAGACCACAAATGAAAATGATCCCTACACTAAGGCTCTAAAACCTGCTCCAGTGGCAGGAAGGGGTCTGACGCTCGCCCAACCAGCCTTCCATCCTGGTGAGGACTAAATATGGGCCTTCACCGGACTGCACGAGGCATGGTGCCCAGCCACGCCTGCGGGACTGGCTCTGCTCTGCTGTAGAGGAACTGGAGTCCCTTTTGGATTTGTTCTCGGGTCCACTTACACACTACACTGATCCTCCTGGCATGAAAGTGTAGACAAGATAGATGAGCTGATCCCTTCGCTTCAGTGTCTCGTGTCCCTCGCCACAAGATGACGCAACTCTGTGATGTCACAGGAGGCCGGGATCTACAATAGACACAAATCTGTGCTCCTTTTCGGATCCCCTTCCATGGCACCCCGATCTCAGAAGCTGTGAAGTCTCTCAGCTTGGCTCACATTATGCCATGGTTCTAGCCATAACCACATTTTGTTGTTGAATAAATCAGCTGTGTAGAAAGACGTTTCCAAACAAACCCCCAAACACTAATTCATTTCACACTCTGTTTTGCAGACATACACAAAGCAAACACCACAAAACACCGTGTTAGCCAGCTGTAGCCTGTTTCGATAGTGGTTCTTTAATTCTTCACTGGTATGGCGACAGGGATTTTTCCCCATGACAACCTGTCTGTGTTCACGTAACCCCTGCCACAATCTGGTTTATGAGTTTGCTATTAGCCTAGCTCTGTGTGTCAACAGAACATTATGAACGCACATATGCACCGCTTACTGAAATGGATCAACGAAAACCAATTTACCCTCCGTGTGCTGCAGTTTGATTCTTAATGCTGCTGAGAAATTGAGTGGTTTGACAA